TGGCGAAAACCCCAAATGCGAAACTCTGCCAAAACTCTAATAAACAATTAATGTGTAACCTGTCGAAACTCTGTCGAATGATTTCTGGAGGAGTTTCTCCCGCAACCTTAATCTTGATGATGTCAATATCTTCTTGAAGACATGGAAGGAACATCTAGAACATCTAGAAAACGTTTTCGAACATATACAAAAAGCAGGATTGAAACTCAGCCCACAGAAATGTCAATTTGGAAACACGGTGTTGAAATTTTTGGGACACAGTTGGAAATGATGGAATCAAGATGGATCCAGCGAAGATAGAGAAGGTGCAGAACTTTCCTAAACCTATCAACGTCACCCAAGTAAGAAGTTTCTTAAGACTCTGCAATTACTATAGAAAATTTGTAAAAGGATTTACAAAGAGATCTTCACCTTTAACAGAACTATTAAAGAAAGGAGAAGAGTTTAATTGGATGAATAGACAACAAAGGGCTTTTGAAGACTTGATAGAACAACTCACCACTGAGCATATATTAGTATATCCAAACTGGAAGCAACCATTCATCTTATCTACAGATGCATCAACATTTGCTTTAGGAGCAATTCTTTCACAACTAGATAATAAAGGAAATGAAAGAGTGATTGCATATGCTAGTAGACAACTAAGACCGGCAGATAAGAACTATGCAGAAACAGAATTAAAATGTCTCGGCATTATATGGGCTATAAAACATTTTCATACATACCTTAGTGGATCCAAGTTTAAATTAATTACGGATCATGTAGCATTGAAGTATTTAATCAATATGAAAGAACCAAAAGGAAAATTAGCTCATTGGATTATGACATTACAGTCATACAATTTCGAAGTAGAACATAGTTCAGGAAAGAAGCATCAGAATGTAAATGCAATGTCTAGAATAGAACATTTTAATTAATTAATATTATTTATATATGGGGCATGCTGCAACAAAACCAGACAAAGTGAACATTGGTATTACTAACAATTTTCAGGGATCAAAATTTAGTCATTTGTAACATGATTATAATTAACAGTTTTATAATATCCCATTTTCTATCTTGAGTGATATATAGAACTGACCCCATATAAAAATAATAAAAATTTGCTTAGAATTAAATAATATTTGTTGTTATTTTTTTTTTGTATATTAAAAAGGTGGCAGTGATTATTAACCTGTTTCTTGCTACTCTACTCTATTTATATAGACAAAAAATAGACATGACTTAGCTTTTTTGTTGTTATTAATACTTGTACATGAATACCTGATTATTCAATACATTTGATATCATCATTAACATAACAAATAATTGCATCACCCATGTAGTAATGATACCAAGGCCATGCATAAATGAAACTTCTAATAATGCCTATATACCCAGATCTCTGGGGTTCACAAAATAAATTATTTTTCCTAATTATCAATTATGGTTGCTCATGAATAATAAATCTGATGTTGATTGCAGGTGTCAGATTTATTTGAATTTTCCTATCACAAAAATGCAAATACCATGGGATTTTTTCCTATGGGTAAAGTCCATCACATGCTGGAAGGCTTTGGACAAAACTTTTCCTTATCTTCCTCTCAGATCAGGCTGGACATCACCATATGGGCATGAATATCAGTATTTGTGTGATGTGTGATTATTGCTTTGTGTTATACCCCTGTAGAATAAAGTTGGTGTCTGCGACTGGTTTAACTGGTTTGAAAATTCAGCAGCCCAGAAGGTTGCAATCTGGGTTGTTGCCTTGGATTTTCCCTGAATTCAGAGTTTTGAGTCCTGGGTTGCTGTAATTTTTATGAAAAGAAAAGTATTAATATTTAACAATTAATTATTTAAATGTTTATTTTGTTGAAAAAAATATACATTGATAGTGTACATTTTCTGTGCTTAACATCCATGTGACCCTAAGTCTGGACAAAAGATCCCTTTCTATGAGTTTGGCTGGTATATCCCAAAGGCGTCCCCTGTCTTGTCAGTGGCATGCCTACTCACCAACAACCCTACCCCCATTTACTAAAATAACAAATTCAGTTGGTCAAATAAAAATTAAAGAAAAACAAAAAATTGGGAAAATGATTAATTTTTATGAAACATACCAAACAAAATCCGAACCATTTTTATGGCCTTTTCTTGTTGGCCATATTGCTGACAAAGATGTATATAATTGTGCAATAATTTTAACCTACAGAGCAGAGAAATTATTGGGCAAAAACCCCTACCCAAAATTATAAATTGGTTAGTTAGTATCAGAGAAACAGAGCATTTATGAAAATGATTATACAAAACAAACATTATTTTACAACTTTCCTCTTAACATCAGAGTCCGAATGCAATTTCAGGGCCACCAACCCTGCTCTGAATTGCGACCCCATGTGCTTGAATGAGCTGCAGATTCTCGTAATATTCCTCCAGAGTTGCAACATCTTGGTCACAGAGCCATCCTTACCCTAGAGGCAGGATCGTTGCAGTCGACTTTTCATCCAACATGACAGCAGCCATCTCTGGTCTGGGAAGATTAGTGAAAGCGTCATTGACGATTGGTGCAGTCTCGGTAAACTCCAGGGCCTTGGGCTCCCCCCTGGAATTCAGTTGCATCATTGTATCATTGGGGCAGCGTAGTCAGATTAGCCTTGTGTACACGAGGAAGGTGAGAGAATGACTGTAAAGTGTTCAAGATAGCATGCGTGCTTCAACGCCTGCTAATTTCCGATAATCAAACATTGCATATTTGAAATGTCTCTTTTTAAATGGTGTGCTGCCTTGATATCTTGTATTATAATATTTATAAAGGACCCCGGAAACTACATAGATAGGTTACCCTAAAATTTTCAAAATTTACTAATGAGTTTACCAATATTTTTTATATAGATTTACCCAAGTTGGTAATAACTCTCTAATCTTATAATAATAAATTTACCCAAAAATTTCTATGACAAAAAATTTTTTTATTTAAAAAATTTGACTAAAAATAGTGTGAGCAAAATCATGATATTAAAATAAATGAAC